TCGGAGCTTCGGATGCCATAGTAGCGGTGGAACCAACACCCCGGCGAGTGAGAAGGAATTCACATTCTCCGATGATGATACTACCGTTCGCAGTGGCAGTCTCTCGAGCAAACCCAGTTTGGGAAGCCTTCGGGCCGTCGCCAATGGTGCTATTGGCTCCGAGAGGAAGGAGAGATCTTCTCGGGAACGGCGGTCGCAGGATAGCCCGTACACGACCACTCCGATCAGTGAAGACGGAGGCTTTTTCGGCGGAAAATTTACGGATGTTCGCACCGATCAGGTCCCTTCACCCGTGGGAACCCCTTCAGTTGCTGCTGTCGTCGCTGGCCAGAAGACAGCACCTCAGGGTCCGGAACGGCGCAAGACCCCGATGCTTGTGCTCTCGAGCGCTGAAAAGCGCAAGACCCCGATCATGTAATGCGAACCTCGTACATAATGTGACTGAGACGTAACGGATGTGCACTCTTGGATGATTTTGTTTTTCTACTTTTTTTTCCCTTTCTTTTCCTTTCTTTTGTATCTGGACAGGTTCAGCTCTTCACTCTGGTTCAGAATGGATACTCTCATGTGGTAGTGGAATTTGGCTTCTAATATTTCTTTCTTCCTGGACCTGTGTTTGGAGAGACGCCCGCAGCTTTCTGCGGCACCAGACTTGGATCCTCTTTTTTGAGGTCTTTATTTTATGCTTTACGTTCTTGTCCACTCCTTACAGCCGCCACACGCTGATGGAATGCGAAAACAATTCTACATTGTATTGGAAGTCATGATCTGGGCTTCTTCACTCGAAGCAACTGGCTTCTTTCATTTGACCGGACTGGATCGATCATCTTCCGCCAGAGCGACTTCCATGTTTCAATCCTTCGGTGTACAGCATCTGGCCATGTATGTACAGGCATTCATTCTCTTGGGTATCAATATTCAAATGACATCGATATAACCCATGAAGTAGATTCAGTCCGGTACTGTCGTTTTTTGTTCCATATTCGTAGCGGATTTTATGATTCTATATGATATGTCATGGAGCGTCTGTCAGAAATCCTTCAGATAAATGTCGTGTTCAAGCTGCATGAATCGACATGACTGGTATGACTTACATGACTACCGCCAACAATACTTCTTACATTTATTTAAATTTCGATTAGCTTCGTTGACAACCTTAGAACCAGCGGCCCAGGCCGAATTTCATCCCAGCTTTTGCTCCACCACCATTCACTGATTGGCCCTCATCCTTATGTTGCAGTCTTGGGTCTGTACACCAAGTAGCATTAGTTTAAGAAAGGCACGCTATCACGAAATTTACAAGAGCACGCAATTTTCTTTCTAGATGAGGACTCCTCGGGAAAAGAACGAACAGAAATCAATAAATATCCATCATGTAGTTTCACAGCCAGCCGGAAACTGAAGTTTGGCGGGACGTACCAATCTATTTACACCATGACCGAACAACCATCTACTTCGGTGTCGTCGAACGAAATAGCAGTACACAAGGAAAAGCGGGTATGGTATTACTCGACGCTTTTCAATGCCTTCATCATCGGTGGAGTGGGCTTTATGGCCCCGGGGTTGTGGAATGCGATGAATTCTTTGGGCGCTGGTGGCGCGCAGTCACCGTTTTTGATTAATGCTGCAAATGCGTTGGTGTTCGGGCTGAGTACGGGTCTTCTAATTTTCTTTTTTTCTTTACTTTGGGTGCCTCTTTTGTGGAAGACTGGCTGCTGATATGTGTGTTTTAGTGGGCTTTCTGTGTCTCTTTGGTGGTCCGGTTGCGAACCGGATTGGATTGAACTGGACACTGCTTTTGGGTGCCGTTGGGTATCCGATTTACTCGTATACATATCTCTAGTGCTAGGGCTCTGTTTCTCGAAGATTGTGACTCACTGAGTGATTCCTTAGGGCCGCACTGTATACGAATAACCGATATGTGAGTGCTGGGCTATACACATCTTTTCGGTGGTGAAAGGCTAATGACACAACTAGGGCAACGTTTGGTTTGTGCTGCTTGGATCAGTAGCATGTGGTCTATCGTGAGTATAGTATTATCTATTTAGAAATATTCAGAATCTTACACGGATATCCAGGGCGGGTCTTTTCTGGGCTTCTGAAGGTGCCGTGGCACTGGGCTACCCTGAACCGACGAAACGAGGCAGATACATGAAGTGAGTCCTTTGTTTTTCCTTTGCCTTTTTGGTACACTGCAACTGACAACAGGCAGCATTTGGCTTTGGTTCCGTACCGGTGGCCCTTTACTCGGTGGCGCTATTGTTCTCGGGCTCAACCAGTTAGTAGCCTCCTGGGAACTGAAGATCCATACGGCAGTCGCTTACCAGAGTATAGTTCTGCTGAAGCAAGGCACAAAGGAAAGGTTGACTCGCGTATGTCTAGCCAGGCGATATCTTTCCCATCTCCGCGTTAATATCTGCTAATCACTTTGTGCAGAGACTTATCTCATCTTCGTCGCATTACAATGTCTTTCCGTTCCTCTGGCGATATTTCTCTCGCCGCCTGAAAAGGTCCAACGTAGTGATGGCAGCAAAGTGCGGATTGTTTTGCAAGATTCATGGCGCGCTGAGATGCTTCAGCTTTGGAAACTATCGTGCCAGAAGAAGGTCAGTTTTTTTGGCGAGTTTCGCTTCTAATGCTAGTTTGTCTAACTCTGGGTTAGGTTCTCTTGCTGTTACCGATATTCTGGGCAGCCTATTTCAACCAATATAACGGAAGTATGGTGTTATCTTTGATTAACAACCCACAAAGCAGATCGCTAACTTGATGAATAGACTTTACAACCTATTACTTCGGCGTTAGAGCGCGTGCTTTGATTGGATTCGTCAGTATGTCTATACATCTCTTGTCACCGGTCCCGGATATCCAGTTCTATAACTCCGTGCCATGTCTAACTCTAGCCAAGGCAACTTCGCCAGACTCTTATCCTCTGGCATGATCAGTCGATTCCTGGATTACAGAGGAATTTCGATCAAAAACAGACTCGTTTACAGGTATGACAGCCAACCAGCAAGCATCCACCATCATCGCAGTGCAATTAACCCGTCCTTCCAGCTTCTACTACGTCGTCATCGTACACATCGCTGCATGGGTCTACGCCTGGGTAATCCAGGAGAAATATACCGCAAACCCACCATCCTACGACTGGTCCGACAAGGGCTTCACGGAGGGCCTCTTCGTCATCCTTCTCTGGGGTAAATTCTCTCTTCACTCCATCTCCATCTTTCCAATTCTACATTCAATAAAACTCGCAACGTCCTATAAAAAATTACTAACCAACTAAAACAGAATTCTCCCAACAAGCCCTCCAAAACTTCCTCTACTATCTCGTCTCCACAATGACCGACAACATCTCAGAACTGGGTGCGTAGCCTCCAGTCCGACAAATATCCACTCAAAAATAAGAAGAAACTAACGGATCTTGCCAGCTCGATACTCCGGTATCCTCCGCGGACAAGAGAGTTTCGCCCAGGCTATATCATTCGGACTCAACACCCGTAACTGGCATGGGGGGCGAGTTCCCCTTGCTGTGAATACGATTCTTTTGGGTATGTTGTCTAACCTTTCCTTCTCTACGCTTGTGCCCTGTGCTGCGAGATGGAAGAATAAATACTTATTTGAGAGTGTGTCTAGGTCTTGCGGTTTTGCCGACTTGGTTGGTTGTAAAGGATCATGTTCCTGCTGAGCATGATGCGCAGGCGCCTGGGGTTCGGGATGAGGAGAAGGGAGCTGTGGAGCACGTTATTGGTGCTAGGGATAAGGGTCTGGTGAGGGGGACGATTGAGGCTAAATAATACATGACGTTCGATGTAATGGTGGTTGGTTGGTAAAGGATAGGATAGGAAAAGTTGGGTCTGTCGCTTTTTATGAGCACTTTTATGATGAATATGCATACGGCCGCTTTCATGATTCTTATATAATAAATACAGTTGTATGTGGAAATGAAGCCTTCGGTAAGTATTTGTCAAGATTGACCATAAAGTGAGATGCTAAACAATTGCATTTTTAATATAGGGTTTTTCCCCCTTATCCTTGTCGGTGCTCGTATGCTTATGATGCAAAAGCCATCTAAGGGCAGACAGAACGAAGACCTAATTCTATCTATTCCACTCACTAACTAGCAGACAAAAACATCCAGTTGGGAAAAAGATAAATTTTTAACTCCGATACGGGGAATCGAACCCCGAGCTGCCGCGGAACTTGCTTTCATGTTTTGAAGACTGAAAGGCGGCGATGTTAGCCGTTACACCATATCGGATCGGATGAGAGTGCTTGACTTCTTTCACCTATAAGAAGCAAATTTTTCTATATCATATCATTCCTTAACCCTACAATAAACCCTTTCTTACCACAAGAAGAATATGTATAGCTGTTGCGCCAAAGGTTGAACTGCTATACTTTTGAAATTGTTCGCATAGTAAATTAAGGCCATCTAGGGTGCACTAGGCATGTTTATTCGTGTTAATAGACTGTGTTCATTGGGAAAATATTGTTGTAGTGGTGATGACAACTGGTATATATAGTTCTGTACGGAGTACAAGGACGGTACATTGCAGGGGAGACGGTTGCGAATCAACGGATTGGAGCGAGATTGTTCTGAAAGGCCTGCCGCGGTTGCAATGCACACGTCCACGCACAATAGCACGGGCGTCTTTCCAAGCATACTGATTGCCCCAGTCCGGTGCCAGACATAGACGGGGATAGACGGGGGTGGAATTTCCATACCCCTCGAGTATATACCTACCCACCATCTAGCAGGTTTAAGGCTTCTTCTGGCCACAACCGGAGCAGTTGGCGGACCGAACGACTTGCAGTGGACCGCGTAGATCAATTAGATCAAATTGTGAATTTTGGAAATAGAGACAGGCGAGAAAGTGAACGATAACTTTCTATACGTGTTATAAACTTATGGAAATTTGAGTCAATGCAACAGGGGATGGAATGGCTGCAACTTTAGTCTGGCTTATAGTGCCAAATATTGATTGAAATTCACATTCACTTCCGATATGGTGTAACGGCTAACATCGCCGCCTTTCAGTCTTTAAAACATGAAAGCAAGTTCCGCGGCAGCTCGGGGTTCGATTCCCCGTATCGGAGTAACGAGTTTCTTTTTTGTGGGCTCTCCCTATCTGGGGAGCAGTATTAATGTCTGCCTAATGGAGGAAAACAAGATTTACTAGCCACCCAAATTGAAGTCCTACAGAACCCCCAGGAATTTCTTAACCGGACAATCAATGATATTGTGTCGATGGAGTATTGTGCTGAATGAAGCTATGGTTTCGGATAAACGTTTTTTTGCTGAGTGACACGTCGAGAGCTTGGCAATCTGGGTAGAAAGAGACGTTTGATTTAGCTACTTGCTATGTGGCGCTGAAAAAAAATAGATGGTAAGTGGCATTGAGCTAATCTTCAGTATGGATACAACAACTGCTGCGTAGTGTGTCGTCCAGGAAGTCATGAAAAGCTTATTTGGATACAAAAGATCCCAGACACACAAAGACCCTACACATAGACTGCTAAATAAAGACCTAGATCAAATCTCAAACTTATCCGTGAGCCCCGGAAACCCGATGAGCAACTCATCCAGAACACTTGGACTCATAATATCGAGATGACCCTGGAAATCAGGAAAAGCAGACATCAACGAATCGCCCCCGGTCTCAGCAGAACCGATTTTCTCGACCAGCTCGCTGCAATTCGCCAAGCAGTTATCTGCTAGATCCCAATTGAAGTTGTCACGGTGAGATCGGAGTGTACTGATCATATCTCTAGCTAGTTTGAGGGGAGCGTTGCCGTTCAAGTTTCCTCTTCGAAGTCCACATCGAAGCAAGAAAGTGGTAGCGGAGGTCAGTGAGAAGGCGTGAACAGGAATCCAAAACCCGCGGAAATGCGACTCATCTAGCTCCTCTACCAGATGAACGATTTCCTCGGCTGCCCACTGCGCCTGCGTGTAGAAGGGGGAGGCAGTGTCGTCGTCAACGTGCGTGATAGCTGTGTCGAGATCGAGCTGGATGCGTCTTAGCAGAAGCTTTACCGCCAAGTAGGCTAGTCGGAAATTGGCAGCACCCGGGGTGTTTAAGTGTGTTCCACGAAGGACCACTCGGCGTATATCATCGCTCAGGGATTCTTCCCATTCGCTGAGAAGTCGCTCGAGGTCTACGGGGGACGTTTCTGGCGGATATGGGGTGTTCCTGGAGAACTTGTAGACGTGTTCCAGGTAACGGCCTAGTACCTCGGTCAACGTTGTCAATGCAATGAAGACCGCGGAAGCTGCTATTTGCAAACGTGAAGCACCCGGGGAGCAAAGATCGTCCATTGTCGGAAGGGGCACATCGTATTGTGCACGGTGGATCTGGAGCGGTGTTCCGTATGCCAAACTGCACCTGTTTTAGGCGAGTTAGTATACACAAATCAAGATAAGAGTTCAAGAGGTCTTTCGTACCAGCGGTCGTGTATAAAAACTAGCCACCAGATCCGGACCCTGAATCTTTTTTCCATCGGGCGAATGTTCCAATTGGAAGGGTCTCGATTTAAGCCCAGGGCATTAGACAAGGCGACGGCAGTCCCAACCATACCCCCATTACCAAACATCGAGGTACTTGGCCTTCCGCAAACGTTCAGTATAATCGCCATTACTGTCGATACCCCGGGCGACAAGAATAGTTCTGAGTGGAGAGCTTCATTTGCCTGATTCCAGATAAAGCGTATATCAGGGCAGCGACCGGAACGCAATCTGGCCGAGTTCCCCCAGTAGACTAGAGAGTTGGCGTATAGATTGCAGAGAAGAGCCGGTGAAACATTTTCCTTATGCGTATGATGAGCATTCCGAAACGTTACTTCATAGAATATAGGAAAGCATGTATTGGCATGGAGAAAGAACCTGTAAGTCGATACTCAGCAATTGGCCGAAACCTGAAAAGAACGGGAGTATCATTGACTACTTACAGATCCACGACATCATCGACATTAGGTTCAAGATATTTTTCGATAAGTTCACACTTCGTAGCCGGGAGAGACTGGTTCGCAGAAACGCCCAAAGGCCGTCTAGGAACAGTGTTGAACAGCGCTGGTCGTACAGGTCGACTCGAGTTCGGATCCGTTCGAATTATGCATCTCCGTCGGGCGTCTGGAATTGTGGACAGATAGGTTTCTAAAACATCATTGTCTTCGGCAACTGCTGGACTGACAATGTGAGAGCTATTATCACCAGACTCAGCAACGATTCCCACTAGGCTGGGGAGTGTCTCCTCTCGGTTGTAATTCTCATTATTGGGAGGGTACGACGGCGTCTCTAGACTTGCCGGTAGTCTACTGGTCAGTCGATGATCTATGCACCTCGATATACTACCTAGATCTGCTGATTGAGGAATTGTTTGTGGGCCGGGATGCGAACCTGTATTAGAAAGCTGCCGGCTCGGTGGTACTGCGGGACTCGGAGCCTGTCTCGGCTTCGCCGCTAACTTCCGCGGCGAAGCTGTGGATCTCCGGTGGGAGCTATCATCTGCTCGGGGGTAGATGCAGTTGGTCCCATGAGCCTGGCACATCATACATATGCCGGAGGAGTCTCTAGTCCTGCAGCGAGACTTGCGTTTCCTGCAGGGTAGACAGGCCGGACACAAGTGAGACCGGTAAGGTCTGACTTTGTCTCCGTCTCTGCTGTTACGGGAATTTGGTTGTCTCTCCATATTGATTGATCATTAATCTTTGGTTTCGCAGAGGGGTGTTTGTGTTCCTTCAACAATGCCCACCAGCGAGCAAAATGGTGTCTGATCGTGCTCGGCAAACCCCGCGGCAAACTTAACCAATCTGATCCAGAGAATAGCCCTAGCTCGCCACGGATCATTTGACCGCGGAGTACTCAAGCAAACGTATTGGAAGCCCTTATTCAAGTGATAAGATGTGGAACAAAAGGGATACGGTCTCGATTACCCCTCTTCTTCACTTATCGTCTATTTCATGTGTCTTTCTATCTTATTTAATCTTCATCTCCCATCTCCTACTTCTCTCTGACACCCAGAGCTAGTTGACCCTCAACTATACACAACATGGGCTCTACAGATACAACAACATTTTTCACCACGGCGGACAAATACCTTATGAAAACAGGTGTTCCCTTCTCTCCCATCGTGATCACCAAGGCCAAGGGCACCAAGCTCTACGATGTCAACAATAGACAAATCCTCGACTTCACCTCCGGACAAATGAGCTCCCTGTTGGGCCATTCCCACCCGGAGATCGTCGAGGTAGTCCAAAAGTACGTCGCAGAGCTGGACCATCTTCTAAGCAACATGATCACCTATCCAGTCATTGAGCTCGCTGAACGCCTCGCCCACTTCCTCCCCGCACCGCTAGAAAAGTCCTTCTTCCTAAACACCGGCTCCGAGTCTACAGAAGCAGCCATCAAGATGGCCAAGTGCTATACTGGGAAATTCGAAATCGTTGCTTTCGCCGCAAGCTACCATGGCCTGACCAAAGGCTCAGGCTCCGCGACTTACTCAGCCGGTCGAAGAAGCGGTGGCCCCTGCATGCCAGGCCAGCTTGCCTTCCCAGCTCCATACGCTTACCGCTCACCCTTCCGGAAGCCCGATGGCTCTTACGACTGGGAGGCGGAGATGGGCTTCGGCTGGTCAATGATCGACCGGCAGAGTGTTGGATCCCTCGCTGCGTTTATCTTAGAGCCTATCCTTTCCACTGGTGGCATTCTTGAACTTCCTAAGGGATATCTGCAGCGCATGAGCCTGGAGTGCAAGAAGCGGGGAATGCTGATGATCATGGATGAGGCTCAAACGGGTGTTGGCCGGACGGGTGAGATGTTCGCTTTTGAACAGGATGGAATCGTCCCTGATATTCTCTCTCTGTCCAAGACCCTCGGATGCGGTCTGCCCCTCGCCTCCGTTAGTACAACCGCTGAGATCGAGCGCGGTTGCAATGAAGCTGGCTTTTTGTGGCTGACAACTCACCTTAATGATCCCCTTACCGCTGCAGTGGGAAATAAGGTCCTCGAGATTGTGGAGCGTGATAATATCTGCCAGCGAGCTGCAGAGCGTGGCGCACAATTACGAGAAGGCCTCCTCAAGCTTCAGGAGAAGTACTGGTGCATTGGTGACGTCCGGGGGCGTGGACTCTTGCAGGGCATTGAGATTATCTCGGATGCCGAGACTATGGCCCCTGGGCCTGATATCGGACAGTTGGTTTCTGATCAGGCGATGGCGGGCGGTCTTTCGTGCAATATTGTGAACCTCCCTGGTATGGGCGGCGTGTTTCGTCTGGCGCCGCCTGTTACTGTTACCGCGGATGAGATTGAGGAAGGCCTTCGGATTCTGGATGAGGCTTTTGGTTATGTTCTCAATTCGTTGAGTGTGTAGCTTTATATGTGCAAGTTTGAACTTTGGTATTTTTATTGCACTCAGTTCTGTCAATTTATAAGCTAGTCAAATAGGGGTATGGCGACTTTATTCAGCAGTGGAAAATCGAGAATTACATGTCCAGAATCTAAAGTGAGCCAATTCAGTGAGAGTGTCGATGACCTCTTTTGTTCTGAGTTTGTCCGTTGATATGCGTCGGAGTAGGAACTCAGTAGGCAAGACGCGTAAGGTTTCGCTTATTCAATCTTCTCTATATTGATCCTTTGCGGCGTTTGTGACACTAAGATAGTAAGAGTAGCTGTCAAAGGCCTCATACATCCGCTCATTACATGGGTTTTCAGGTAAACCAAGATTGATCAAATTCATGCTATACCGTAAGCCGTATTCAAAACTATGTGTGATTGTTCTTTTATGATAAGTAATGTGATCTGCTGGTCTAATTGTGATTGCGAAACACCCCCTTATCCCCCCTCTTTTCCTCCCAGTAATGGATCAGATAAGTGGTGGACATCTACAAGAAGTATGTACACGCCGTCGAGAAAGCCCCCAGAAGCACTTCTTAGTATGATCATCATGAATCATAACACCATTCGGTAAGCAATAGAATAAATTGTCATGAAACAAATGTAAAAATCAAGCAATCCAAAACCATACCCGCTCTAACCAATTCCGAGGAACCCTCCGCAGCCACTCTCTAGCATCCAGCTCTGCTCTCCCTGTAAATATAGCAGC